TGTAGCACGTGTCCACAGAAGCTTTCATTCTCATCGAAGGGTGTCGGAATAAATAGGCACTTACGAACTGGATGATCGAGAGGGATCGTGGATCATTTAATTTAATTACCTCGCGAGGGTTAATAGAAGAGATAAAGATGGTTGTGCTCAGAGTGGATATTATACATCGTGGCCGAGTGTCGCTCTACAGGACCCTCCAAAAATAAATCCTGTCTTCTGACTAATGCGGGGAGCATTTCATTTACCCGCCTTTTTCGCCACCGTCGTTAAAAACTTTCGCATTATTTTTCTCCGAGTAAGACGTTGGAGCAACGCGTGAGAACGATTTACTCTATGTATGTTAAATCTTTATTAAAATAAGAATTTCAAAAAGTCGATAGCGACATCAGTACATTCTGGAATTCTGGTTTTAGTATCATCTTAAATGTTGCTTCCTATATTTGCGACAAAATTAATTTAATTTTTTAAACTAATAATTTTCTCTAAAAAATTATAAAATATATTATCTGTAAAATAATATCTATAAAATAATGATTATATACGCCAAAGATATTCTTTAAACAAAAACAGATTCTTTCAAAAATGGAAAAGTGTCAGAAAGTTATAGCATTGACCCTCGTTCCAGAAGTCAGCGGCGATTTAATTTCATAAACCGCAACTGTTGCCTCTATTTAGTTCGAATAGGAGCGCAACTAATAGTTATGATCCCTGCGTCAGATTCTTAATCGAGTTCCTCCCCCTTGCCTGAAATCACAGCCTGTGGTCGAATGTCGACAATGTTAGACACAGAATGGTCACGTTATTTTCGTTACAGTCGTCACAAATATCTTAAAGGATTATAAAAAGGAGACCGAAGGAACTTTCGACGCTCCCTATTTATTAAGCCACTCCTCTAGCAGTACGAATTCTTCGACTGTTCTTGCGACACCCACCACTTCGAAAATCCGCTGGATTAATTTAGACGTCATCTTTAATCCAAAACCTGGTTTCTCTGCCCGAGCTGCTTCGCTATGCCCACTGTGAACCTTAGTTTCTCCTTCGATAATTTCGACGGGCGGTCGCATTAACGACATCCCGATGATACGTCGGAAAGGGGGAGGGGGAAGCGGGAATCAGTTTAACAGGAGGGGAAGAGCGAAGAGGAAGGAGACAGTTCAGTTTGCCGCGGATGTCTCCAGCATTGTATGCAGATGAAGAAGGCAGGGCGACAATGACTCGGGACGATCGGGGACCTGGGCCCGTTCGTCTTGAACCGAAAGAAACCCATCCGCCACGAAAGGGGTGTCGCGGGGCTCGGCGGTGGGTGATGGGGGCGAGGGGAGGCTGCCTGCTTTGGCTCGTGCTTGGCACCAGCATGCTTGCCCTCCTCCGGCACTTCCTTCCAGACACGCTTATGTACTACGCGTCCATACATTAACATGTCATCATCGTGTAGAAACCGAGCTGATCGAGCTGAACCTTCTCCTCTCCTTCCCCCCTCCCCTCCCCTCGCCCTCTCGCCGGGCTGCTCGTCCCAAGGCTCGCAAGTCGAACGTGCCGTCGTCATCAGACGCAGAGACGTGACGCCCCCCTGTGAAGACTTGCCTCTTGAAAGTCTCCTCTCGCGCGGATTCAGCCGGCCTATTCTTCGTGGGCGTTTCGTTTGCTCGCGCTGGATATCGCGGGCAATTCGTCACGGAAATTCGTGCCGGGCCGTTTTATAGACGGAATAATTACTTTAGGACCCTATGCGTCTACCCGTCGGCGCTGTCCTTTTTGCGGCGGCGAGTCGATCTGTCTGCGGCGAAGTCCATCCTTTCTAAGCACGAGTATCATCGCGCGATCTTAGCGTCTAAGATTACATGTCTCTATTTAAAATAATTATTACATTTGATAAATTTAGACAGTAGACTGATGATGATTTACGTCTAAATTCAAGAAAGAATTATATAAATACGTAATTTTCTTCTTTCAAATGATGGTTTAAATAAACGGAGCGATCATCGGTCATCGGGCAACGACGTAAAAATTCGCGTGGTCGCGCGTGATTCGAATCGCGAATGCGACCCAACCTTTCCACACGCGACGCAAATAAAGGATACGCGACAAGAAGCCGCCGTCGCGTCAGTTTTAGCGAAACGGAGTCAAACCTTGGAAAATCGTTTACGAGAGAGTTTCGGAATCGCGAAGGGAATTCGGACCATTCCAGCCGGTCGATATGACTCTGGGGGTTGTTTGGCAGATACACGTACACGTACACAGGTACGTAACCGACGGCCCTCGCCAACTCTCGTAACGGAAAAGAGGTATATAGACCAGGCGTTGGTGGTGGTGGTGATGGCAGCGATGGTGGCGGCGGCGGCAGCGGTGGCGGCGGCGGCGGCGGTGGTGCAGGAGGAGGGCTGGATTGGTAAACCGGTCACGTAATGCACGGCGATGAATGGACCCGCCGAGTCGAGCCCAAAGCCGGGAATTGGCTACTGGGCATACCACCGACCACCTACCCCACTGCGTCAGCTTTAGCCACCCCACGGCAACGGTAAAATTACAAAGAGGTGCTCAAACCTGAGCTATCTCGCGTATCTGCCGTCACGCAAATAGAGACGACGGGTTGCTGCGAAAATTCCGAGCGCGACGCGTGTTTCGTTTTGGAAAAAAAGACCGACGTGATGCGACGTAATCGATCGATTACCGCTGTGAAACCTGCGGAACTACGTTAAATAATGAAATAATCTAAGCCTCTGTGCACAGAACGCAAACTTGAAATTATACAATTGGCGCAGGAATTTAAGTCAGATTTTTTTTATATTGAATTACGATTATTGTAATTACTCCTCGATCAATTCTTTTTGCAATTAAATTTGAATACTAAAACCAGTATTGAATTGTGATTTAAACTGAAGCAAATATTGTTACTTAATAATATAACATTGACATTAATACCTAATCGTTGCTTAATAAATACAGAATTGATACAACACTGCTTTTTTATCTTGTAACGATTTACACATAAATGTGCATAAAGTAAGAAAAATAATAATTTAATGAAAACATGACTTTTCTATCATTCAACTTTTTGTTTTTGTTTTTTTTAAACAGATTAGTTTACACAGCGTCAAGATGCAATAAACGGACAACGTATCACATATAATCGCGCAAAGTCAGGCGTTTGATGTTGAACGTACCACGATTACAAACCCGGCTACGTCAGCTCCAGTCAGCTCGCTTAAGATTGTAAAAAGGTGCTCAAACCGGATAATCTTGCTTTATTTTTAGACCAAACGTTGCAAAATATCAACGCTGCACGCAATCTACAATAGTATTACACCTCATCGCGATCACGATATATTTTTCTATAATTATTCATACAAGAAATTATTTTCACATTAAATTTCAACAGTAATGTACAGTAAAATTTTTTACTTACGGATTGAAGCCAACGATATATGAATAATGCGTTCGAAGAGCAGAGATTTCGAAAGGTCATAGGACGACGTTATTCGTAATCAGGATTCCATTTGCGGAATTCTCTCGGGCCTGGCTCCTCGTTGTCATACCGTAGAGATCGTCCTCCCAGCTCGGACACGTTGGCGAGACCGAAACGCGTACCCCTACGCGCGTACTCCTGGACCCCCTTATGCAATCTACAGCAAGCCTCTGATCTGCCATAAAGTCATTTCATAACCCATCCCGAGGGTTAAGTACCCCTCGAGTCCCAAATCCCGAGTTAAGCGCAAACCCACCGAGAGCTTCAAACTTTCACGACATGATCTCTGCTCTCTTTCCTTCCTCGTTTCATCGTCTGCCTTTCTTTGGTGTTATCTTTCGACAATTAAAACTACAGAACTGATACTCACTGAAAAGTTATTTCGAGAAACGACGCGGTCGATTATTTCTGCAACTTGCGGCGAACCACGATAAGTCTTTTCGAAACTTATCTCGAAATAAATAAATAAATTTTTACGCATTATATAAATTAAAATTTTTTTCAAGGAATATAATATTACAGCCCAAGTGAGGTTCGATCTTTCATACTATGCCTACTGTTAAAATAAAAATTTTGATGACAAAATACTATATATATATATATTTTTTTTTTTAAATGTCATGTTCTTTGTCTGCAAATAATACGACGTATTAATTTTGCGATTCGATGGATAGTATAACTGAGATTTTCAACTACGATTAATCTCGGCACTGACGTCCAACACTATTACGTGACGCTGAAGCTGAATAAGACCGTGCATAAATTATAGGTTGTCTCGTAACGCGCGCGTTCGCAACGCAACGGGTTCCCGGCAGCTCGAGAAGGAGAAAAAACACGCGGTGACACTTGCGTCGGAATTAAAAAGTAAAAGCTCGTTATAAATCAAACGCCTTGTCAGCGGGTGTGGCGGCTGGCCTTTAAGCTGCCGCGGGAGGGAAAGGAGGATGGTGGCGGTCGGGGTGAAGGCGAAAACCCTTTCGTTAATTGCGCATCGCAGATGCCGGGCTATTGCAAGCGCTCTTTACGAGCCCTGCTCTTCCCTCCCGGTGCACGGTGAACGATCGTAGAAAAAAAGCTGAGCTTCTTTGTAGCTCGAGGAAAAGTTCCGGGCCGTAAGCTCTGAAAGTGCCCTTAAAAGCGATTACCGTGCCTCGTAATCGTAACACGATTCGTTTACCGCGCGAAAGGAGAAAGAGGAATTAGACGTGTTCGACAAATTCCGTAGGACGCGTAACCCGCTGCCAAATTCCGAACGACTTCGAGAGACTGTAATTAAATGGTGCGCCGCGCGATGCGCTCGAATGAGATTTCTTCTTCGGATCGCTGAAAACAACAAGTCTAGTCGTGGTGTTTTTCCTGACTTTCGGATTACTTTTGGATTTCGCTAATTTTCGAATGTCAGAGATCCAGCCAGGTATCATCCGTTAATTGACGTACGGTCGTTCACTCGATCATTAAAACTTTTATGACTTAAAACTTATGCTTTAAAATATTTGGGACGTGGTAGTTTCTCCGAAGAAAGCGAGGCGACAAATATACATAAAATAATGTATTTATTATAATACCCCACTTCGCTACAGCGATTAACATTGATTTAACACAACTTATACCGTAATTCTATGTAATTATGTATTTCCACACACTGACACGATGCCTGGCTGCGACTGGATTCTGGAACGATTGCTTGCAGGAGGACGATGCGAGACAACTCTGTAAGCTAAAACACAAAGGCAAATATTCTTATTGGAGGTCCTCGAATGATTGGCGTTCTTCTTATTTTCGCAACTAATTCGCATGTTTCAGCACATAAATACGAAATCATTAATATTTCTGCATTGGTGAGGTTTTAAGTCATTACTGTCCCGCGGCACGACGCGGGGGGGAGACACGCAAATAAAAAGCAAGATCGAGCGGTTACGGGGCCCGGGATGTCGTCTTCGGGGGGTCCACGAGAGAGTCCAGCGGATATCTAAAGCGAGATCTCTTCTTCGCGGAGGAGGCTGCTGGCGGCGGCGGCGGAGAGAGAGAGAAGATGGAGGAACCCTGGAGAAACGTTATTAATTGGCTACACGATAAAACAGTGTTAGTCCCCATTCGCTGCCCTTCGGCTGGACCCCCCCTGGCTTCGTCCTAAGATATGGGGCCACGCGACTTCCTCGCGCGCGTGTGCGCGCGTGTACGTGCGTGCGTGTATCGCGAAGTTGGAGGTCCTGTGAGAATTACGATGAAAAAGGAATCTCGAGGGCGCGCCGTACGCCCGACGAACAAACAACTCGTTTCCGGGCGAAATTCCTCGTGCCGCACGAAATACGACACGCATCATCTTCTTACATCTCTTACGTCTCCCTCTCCCCCCCCCTCTCCCTTTTCGATAAAAATAATGATCGCGCACTGCATTGCGACTAAAAGAAGTTTACAACTTAATCGGATAATTAGATTATAAACGTGTACGATCACTTCTTGAAACTTACCCTTCACCGAATCTCTACGCGTTCTTTTTCTAAGCAAAAATGATTCTTTATGTCTATGTCATAATTGTAGATAATGTAGCAAAAAACCTCAACTCATGGAAAAACCATTGCGTCTGAGCGTGAGATATTCAGAATTAAAATTAATTTTTTGCCGTTAAAACTATCTTATGTCATAACATATAATCTTCGCGTTGATGCGCGTAAACGTGATCATCACCAATCGTAAGGGACGATTCATTACGATAATTATCAAGTGGAAATTAACGGGTACCATAATTCCCATGCGCACATATTAACATTATTAACTGTTAATTAAAAGGCTGGCATATATGGGTCACTTGGCGTGGAAAATCCTTGATTTGATATAATCCAGATACGATCGGCGATGCGATAAATAAATCGTATTGCATCGAGATAACAACAAAAAAACAAGGATAATACAGCCAAGAATGAAGTCTTTTTTTTTTTATTTCCTATTTTTATTTTCATATTAAAAATTATGCTTACCATGTTTCATATCGTTCGCGACAAAAAAAATCTCATTTTCACGCAATATTATTTTCAAACTTTATAATCTTGAACATACTATTAAAAAACAGGACAACTTAAATTTGTCAAAGAAAGATATATCAATAAGATGAAAAAAAAGGAGAAAATATATAATGTTTTTGTAATCAAAATACATCGCGTGCATGCGTTTCGCAGACGCGTCTCGCTCCTCTCATTTATCGAGACTATTTCTCCAATTAATGTGCTATTAATTAAGGAGCGCGTGGAAAACGAGCGACGCGAAACGCGAAAGATACCGTAGATGCGAGCGGCGATATATACGGTCTAGTTCGATTTTTTAACGTGGAAAATGGAAGAATAGTGCGCGGAGGCATCAGGGGAATATATCTGAGATCCACCGTTCCTCTTATCCGCTTGTATCTTTCCGCCCCTTATATTCCTCTTTCTCTATCTGTCGTCCCCATTGATTTTTTCCTGTTACCTGCTTGCAACGCGGCTTTCTCTCTCTTTCTCTCTCTTGTTTTTGTTTCTTCCTTCCACTATCCCGTCCTCCTTTTCCTTTTACATCGACAGTTTCTTTGCTTCACCCGTTACACACATATACCCGTTGTCGATAGGGTACATATATCGCGCATGTTTGGTACCCCTATCGTTTCTCCTCCTCTCCTCCATTATTTCTCCATCTCTCTCGCTCTTTCTCTCACCTTTCTCCCCCTTTCTTTTTATTTCTTCCATATCGGTGCGTGCATCCGTCCGTTGTTGTTGTTGCTGTTGTTGTCCCTCCCGCGGATGAGGGAGCAAGCATGAGGGCTATAGGCCATAAGGGCTAACAAGGCGATTACTCATGCCTCCCATAAGAAGAAGTTACAAGCGGCTTCGAAGGTTTATTGCGGCAAATGGCGAAATTTGTACCTTGCTAACGATTGGCCGTCTTTTTTGCTTCTGTCATCCCCTCCCCCTTCCCTCCCCTTCTCCCTCTTTGGACATTTTTTTTATCGTTGTATATGCATCCCCGATATGCGCGACCCTCGCGATTTAGCGTCCGATGCATATAATTATGCATTAAACGTCGATGTATTCTGAAAACGAGTGACACCAGCCTGTCGATCGCGGAATGCAAACGTATTTTATCGTTACCAACGTCAGTGAAACCCTCCCCCTCTCCCGTCCCCACGCAGATACAAATATTTGCAGACCATGCATCAATCAAATATCACAATCCTGAATTTAAAGCCAATAATTTTTTAAAAATCCAACGGAAACATGAGAATAATAAGAGAAATATATTGAAGGGAAATATATTGAAACTACACTCAAAGAACAATTTTACTGTAAGATCTAAATATTGATCATACAGGTTTGAAAAATAATCTTGTCAGACCATGAAAATTATTATTATTAGCGTAGAATGCTTGATAATGATAATACTGCAAAATTTTTTAATATTCTAACAATCAATTTTTAACATCCTATATAATTATTTCAAGAGCCCAACAAAATTATTTTCCAGATCCATCTATCTAACAAAAAACTGTTCTTTCCATGAAATAAATAATCTTAAATATCTCATAAATCTTTTTCATCATTTCTTATTGTAACATTTTGAAATTTTGATTGATGTATTACGTCTCGGAGTATCGCGTAACATTTCTAAATACAAAATTTTATGTTTGAAGAGTAAGTGTTTCTAATGATAAAAAAATATCTCACCTCAAATGCGATGATATTTGAGCCTGCCCGAGTGTGTCCTGACTGCGTGCGATCGACGGACGACTAGTCCCGGACGTCCCGGACGTCCCGAAAGTCCTGATGACCGATCTGTGATTGTATGCATCTTCGGGGGCCCCGACTGAGTCCGGTAGAGCGACGGCGGCGGCGACGGTGGCGGCGGCCGGGCTGGTGGGCCCATCGACGAGTTCGGTGGGTCCGAAAATGGGTCCGCGGGACGATCGGCAATCCGAGGGCAGGAAACTGCAATTTCGCAAAGTAGGGCCTTAGGTTGGAATCCGTCTTTATTCCGAGGTCAAATTCGCGGCCCACTTGTGCCGAGGAGGGGAACGGGACCCCTCTCGGTTCCGTTTCCCCTTACGCCCTCTTAAATCCCGTCGGTCGGCCTACGGCAGCTCGAGCTCCGGCAAGCTCTAATTAGATTTTAAGTGAGAAATTGAGCCTGCCGGCAATTTTAAGGAAGCCGAACACACCGCCCTGATTAATATCATTACGTGCGTTCGCTTGTTATACCGTAGGGCCCACGAAATGGAATCCGCGGATATATACTATATACAGGCGGATGCAAAACTTCTTCGTAATTCAGCGTAGTTTGCTGCTCGACGAGATCAATCGACAAAATATTTTTCCAAATATATTCATCGCTATCAAATATTTCTTTTTCGATAATTATTATCTCCTCTCTTAGAAAAAGTTTCTGTTGTAACCTATTCACTATAAATTATTTGCGCTATAAATTAATTTTTTAGCTTAGATAGAACAAAAAATAATAAATTATGTTTACGTCATATATATATATATATATATATATATATATATATATATATATACAATAGAGAAATCAAAAACTATGCTTCAATCACTAAGAAATATTAATGAACTTGAACCTTCTGTCGCAACGATCAAACAAATATATCATTCTTGAAGCGTGCTATATCAAAATATGCAGCGACTCTCGCGCGATCGTCGAGAGATAGCCAATGGTGGCTTCTCATCCCGATGCCCGAAGGACGAAAGGCGGAAGAGAAGAAGGCAGCGCCGAAGAAAGACTCGCCGAATAGCAAGCCACGGAGGAGAGGAAGGAAGATATGTCATTACAAACGCTTATTTTCGAATGATTGTGCGCGGTGCCATGAAAACAACAACTTGTAATTATCATTGTTATGGATGCACCAGCCGCATCGGACGGTGTCTTTCTCTTTTTTCTTCTACCTCAATCTTGCCTTCCTCCTCCGGCCCGGAGGCAACGCTAATTTTTGCGTTTTGAGGAAACGAGGCCCGTTGTCCGCGATCACCTCGCCGCGTGTTCTCGGACATGCAAATCGTGCGTATCGGTTCGTAAATTTCAGTACGTGCATTGAAAGCATCGGTAAAAGTACAATTAGAGGTAATATAGTTTAAACGGTTGTTCTCGCACACAGCCGTTGTGGTCGGACAATTGGAAAAAATAACTTTAGGTTTACCATGAGGTTATATCGCTTTAATTGAAAAAAATTATTGTGTGTATAAATTCTATATTTTTTTGTTAAATTAGTCTCAAACAGTCGGTCACGCTTTCTTTCTTCTTCCGTGTTAGCGAAAATCGCGGATCGAATCGACGATCTCTCACCGAAACGGGATAAATGCGATGTTAAATATGCGTAACGGGCGTTATTGCTACACGCTTGCTTTAATGATCGCCAGCGAACTCGATGCTACCACAATATAATATATGCCGTAACAGATTATATATATTATCTAACCGTTTAAATAGCATATAATCATTAAGATTATATTAATTGTATTATTATCAAGTATAATCGTGCAGACGATGAATTAGAAGAGGTTGGCCTGAGACAGTCAGTGGTTTTTATAATGAAATAGTAAGTCCGTACTATTAGCACGATTCAGCGGTGGAATATTTTTACATAAATCTTCATCTTCAACATAATTCGACGTGTGCGGTTGCACAGCGGCCCTGTTACTGTTGAATGCCGATGACGCTGTCGTTAACGCAGGACGATCAAAATCATTAGTCTCGGCAAAGAGCAGTCATTAGCACAATATTAAACGGTTATTAAGGCGTATGCGGGGAAAAATGTGATCTGGCGGGGCGAATAAATTAGACGAGAAAAAAGCCAGTGCGTTTACTATTAATCACGGCCGCCCGATGCCGTCCGTATAACGCCTCATTTTATATCGATTTCTGATTCAGTGCTTTGTTTACTCATCATTTTGATAGCCGATCGCCGCGGGTTTAACGACATCGAAGTGTCGAAGTGTCGTAGCCGACAGGCCGTTTTGTGATGGCATAAATAAATGGATGCACCCCTGATTTTTTTATCTCCCTAATTAAATTTCAAAGAACGCGAGAGGCCTCGTTGACGTTTGTCTGACCCTAACTGTGCAATTTTTCATCAAAATGACATCTCGATACGAGCCACATTAAAATGCCGTTCGATAATTCGATAATTTAATTCGACAATTATTTAAAAATTTTTTTAAATAAATAAAATAACCTAAGCATATCCGAAATTAACAATTAACAAGTGTCCTAGTCACACGTCAAAAATGATTTTTTTCAAAAGCTATTCGTCACGGTAATTACGTAAATGCTATTACGGAAGCGTCGTGCGTGCATCCGGTTTCATTTCGTAAAAGAGTGGCATAATAAATGTGCGGTGGCGCGGTCGAGTAGACTTTACCCTCTTCGAAAGCGACGCGACGCGAGCGGCGATCATCGCGCTATTCATCAGCTGCGCGCTCCTTTACCATCGGCGTGACGTGCCGTGGCTAATGGCACCTTTAAAGCGCCGGACAACGACGATAATCCCGATGTTCCACTCCACGGACACCTTTCCGTGTATACCCGATTTCCCGAAATCTCGGGCGTCACGCGTGTCACCTGTCGTTCGCGCGCGCTCGAGCGGCGGGCACGCAAACGCAAAAAAATGTGTTAGCATGCAGGTAGCATAATTCCCGATGACTTAGTGAGGTTTAACCTACAACTCGATCCTTTCTACGGGGACGTGCGCCGAGTTTCTGATTGCCGAATAATTTCTCGACCAACAATTAAATGTGTATTAATTTCATTCCGCTTCTGTCTATACCTTTTTAAAAAAATTATTTCATCGAAACAATTATTGTTTTGATAGGATCACAAGATCTGAAATCTTGTTATTGACCGAGATTTAGATACAATACATCCGCTTGTAATCCCCCTTTCTCTCCTATTTTCTGCACTTTGACTCCAAGTACAAGCTCTCGTGCAGATTACAAGGTAAATAAAGTTGTTAACGCACAAGGCAGAGAGTTGAAGTTATAGTCCCTTGAAATTAATGCGAATAAACTAGCAGTTATAAAGTATTACACGTAAAAAGATTTATTACATAGGAATAATTATATAATTATATAATTCAGCAGGTTCAATAGCGCATAAATTTTGCGTGACTTGCTGCGTGATCGCGCGAAAAAAAATCAGGTATGCATAATTCCCTTATGTTATTGCTCGCCAGCGGTAATTCATGGTGGTACTAAACGTGTTAATTAATCCGACGTATCAAGATTTAAGAGAGTAAATAAGCAGCTAGAAGCTCTGAAATTAATCTCCGCAGTTAAATAATAAATAAACGACGGGGATAAATGTCGTGTATCCAAAGTAGTTCGTATTCCGAACGCGAGTAAAAAATGAGCCGGGAGGCTCACTTAGTTGACTTAATTAATGACCAAATCCATCATCAAGACGTTCCCACAATGAGGCAAAAGATCGCCTGCCCACCCTATGAAGTAAAACCTGCGTGCAACCCTTTTTCTCAACGACTACCTCTTTTCACGCATATTGCAAAGTAGACAAAACCGCGACGCAACTGGCTGGCCAGTCCACCTTTCCAGAGTAGATCTCTACCGTTCTCACTTATAACGGTCATTCAGGACCGTTTCAGGAGGCTGAACTCGATTCCTAAACTGGATTTTGACAACACCTCGACAAAACATCTCGAAGCGAGCGATGAAGAGAGCGAGTTATGAGATCGCGAAAAAGTCTTCTTCCGATGGGAAATCCGTCGAGAATTGATTCATGACAAACTTAGTTCTATATTATTAATATTAATTATCAATTAATTTAGCACAAGCTCGAAAAAGAGTCGCAACGCAACAAATGGCAAATCCTTGACAAATCCTAATCCATACTCCTCTATTTAATCGTACTTATGAAATCTCGAATTAGCTCAGTCTACACGGACAAGATGGAAGTCTGATGTATCGATGTCGTGAGACCGTTGCCTTCGGTATCAAGTCATCAGTATGGCAGGAGCACGTGCAAGCGGCCGCCGCCCTCGTCTGATGATAAATGATACGTTGAAATCTAGCTGTGGTAGCACGACTGGAACCGTCCAGCGGCAATGTGGCGTGAAACTTCCTCCCCGGCGGACGGAGACGCAGAAGAGAGAGAAAAAAAGAAGTCGAGAGAGGGAAAGAGAGAAGTCTGAGAGAGCGACGAGTGCTTATCCCAGTGTTCTGCGTCGTAGTGGCTGGTAACCGGTGACGACGACCAGTAAGAGAATCCCAGAAAGCCAGTCTTGCAGACTCCCGAAGGCTAGAACTCCTAGGGAATCCGAGCAAAACCGGTCCAGTCAGATCCGGGGCACCCGCTGGTCACTCCAGGCTGCCGACCATCCTCTACCTGATTCTTCCTTCTCTTCCTCTACTCTCTCTCTCTCTCTCTCTCTCTCTCTCTCTCTCTCTCTCTCTCTCTCTCTCTCTCTCTCTCTCTCTCTCTCTCTCTCTCTCTCTCTTTCTCTTCCCTCCCCCCTCAACTTTCTGTCCGTCTCTCCTTCGCCGAGCGACCTCGCTCTCTCGATCACTCGAGTGTACCTATCTAGCGTTTCTGAAAGCATGGTAGACAAGACGGAGAAGAAACCGAACACGTTCCGTCGCCCGTCGAAAATCGATATTTCATGTAATTATTCGCACTGCACGCCAGAGGGAAATTCACCGCAATCTCACCGTCGTTGTCGTCTCTCGAGGTCGGAAGAGCGAGGCGGATTCTCATTGTCGTGTAACCACCATACTCTTACGTAACGGAAAAACATTCGAGAGAAAGAGAGAAAGAGAGAGGGAGACAATCTTTGCAGTTCGCGGGGAACGTCTCAAAATACCAACGGTATGACGGATGCGGCTCGAACTAACTCGCGACTAACTCTTCCTTTCACTCCATCCAGTTGTTGTTGGCGCGATATATTTTTCGCGCGCTCGCTCGCGACATC